ACCATTTAATGGCTCAGACAGAGCGAGGATGGAAGACCCCTGATCTCAGTTAGCTGATTGCTGAACCCCATGACGCTGACTGACCTCGGGCTGCAAGGCCCAGATTGAGTTCCCCATCCTTCTGAATGGTTGAACTCCGCAACATTCTATTACAGGTTTCCCCCGCCCTTTCTTTAAAGATGTTCAAAGTTGGGAACTCAGAAAAATACCCTTGGTGACCACCTCTGTCTTTGCAGAGTGGGTCCAAAGCCTTGCACAGTCAGGAGGTCTGAGAGTGCGGGGTGGGGGCTTATGGGGGTTCAGGGGTGCCCACGTGGCTACCTTCCTGGCACTTGAGCGATGGCTGCTGGGTCGGGAGCAGGCGTGGTTCTCCTTCCCGCGGTGGATTGGGGCCGGCCTACCTTCCCGGCGCTTCCTCTTCTCTTTCTTAAGGCCTCCAGTTGACTATCACCTCTTTGAGGAAGGCACCTGATCCCTGGACTCAGTGGGGCCTGCCTCTGTGTTGTCTGAGGACCCCGTTCCCTTGGCTGCCTCCCACAGAGCACAGACCCTATCCCATCCCCACAGCTGCCTCTAGGCCTGGCCCTTGGTTGGCAAATGAGTGAATGTTCAGTTCCTGGCTTGCCTGGGCAGCAAGTGGCAGCAGCTGTCCACAGGGCCCCTGGGATCCCCGAGGCTGCCTTTCAGCCCTGGAGAAGCCCAAGTCTGAAGGAGGCTCTGTCCTTTCTCCTTGCAGGAATCAACTACTGTGCGCTGAACAAACCGGGCTGTGAGCACGAATGTGTCAACACTGAAGAGGGCTACTACTGCCACTGCCGCCGGGGCTACACCCTGGACCCCAATGGCAGGACCTGCAGCCGTGAGTGCACCCCAGGGGTGTGGGTGTAGATGGATGCAGGTTCACCACTGAGCCATTCTGGAGCTCCCACATTCCTGTGGGTCTGCTTTAGTTTCACCACCTACAAATGGTACTATTAGGACTACCTGCTTCATAGGTTGGGTTGTGAGCATTAAAAGAATCCATACATTAAAGATATTTACACAGTATTGTTAGGCATGGCCTTCAATAAATATTAGTCTTATTAATCTTTGCTGTTAGAAGCATGGACTAAGCTGCATTCTGCTCTAGAGACCTTGAGTGAGTTATTTAACTTCTTTAAGCTTCGATTTCCTATCTATTAAAAAAAAAGTGAAGCCCATACTAGGCTTGATCTTCATGGTGGTTATGGCTAGTAACTGGGACTATTCCAATCCCTTAGCCTCGGGCCTAGTGCAAGGTAAACATCCCACCAAGGATAACAGCTCACACTGTGGGGCTGATGGAAGGGACCGGTGTCTGGCCCCAGGTTGGAACAAGAGGCTGGGAGGGTTAGACCACTGAAGCAGCAGCTCCTGGGCTGATCTGAGGGCAGAGAGGAGAAACACAGCGTTTTGTGAAGGCTTTTTTACTCATATCCTTGTGTCAGAGCCACCACAAAGCCCATCAGTGATGTAAACACATGGGAACTCGCAGGCCCTGCCAGCTGGCCAGTGCTGTCGTGTTTTATGAGGCACAGGCTCCATGGCCCAGGCCAGCAGGGTGGGAGCACACAGACGCTGTGCCGGATCCCTGTGACCCTGTTACTTTGGGCGCTGGGGCTTGGTGACATGGCCCACAGAGAAGAGGCCCTTTGTGTGGCTTTTCACCAGCAAGCACACATCTGCTCCAGCGCTGGAGACAGAGATGGATTGAGAAGGAGAACAGTGCAGCTGTTGAGTATGTGAACCCTAAATTGCTGGGGGAAGGGGGGCAGTGTCACAGCTGGAGCACGAAGTCTAGTGCCATTCTCAGGAAAACCCACTCCCCTTCAGCCTGCAGAAGGAACATAATTGCCTTGACCAGGCTTTCTGAAGGCAGATCCCAGAGCCAGAGGCTTTCAAATGAGGAAGCTCGTGTAACATCTGGGCTGTGCTGTGCATTAGCCAGTGGAGAGCAGGGGCTCTTACATTCAGCAAGGAGGGAGAACTCCTGGTCATGATGGATCCCTGCCAGTCCTGCCTTTTTCCAGGAGTATGGTGTCCACTAGCCGCTGGTACTGGGACAGGCTGAGCATGATTTGGCTGGGCCATCTAGGCTATTGGGGGCCAAGCCTGTCAGCCTTTCTCCCAGCATGCCCTGGGGGCCTGCCTGGATGGGCTCAGAGTTGGGCTGGAAGACATGGAGACCCTCCATTCTCTCTGGGATCTATCTGGTCCACTGTAAAAAAGTCTAACCTAAGCTGCTTCAGACTAGAAGTCCCCAGAGAAAGCTGAGGTCTTCTGCTTCCTGGGAGGCATATGGGCACCCCAGGCCACAATGACAGCAAAGTCTTAGGAGGCACTCACTGCAGGAGGTGTGGTGAGTACTTCCTACACACCAATCCTTTCAACAGCCCTGTGAGCCACCTGCAATCATCCTTTTTAAAGGGGAGGAAACAAGAAAAGTGTCACTTTCCTGGTAAACGATGGAACCAGGGTGTGAACGGGAGCAGGCAGCTCCTGAGATTCTGTGTTTGTGGTATTTTGTGGTATTTCTCCATGCGAGAAGGTTCTAGAAGGACAGGGCCCAGGTCCCACAGGAGTGAAGAACTCACTTGGTGGCCTTTCACAAGGCCGTCCGTGTCTGTCCAGTCTCTGGGGTGTACTTTCTCCGTCCAGAAAGTCTGAGGCTGCCTGTGGGCTGTCTGTGGGAGCCGTCGGCCACAGCTGTGCATTCACTGGCCTTCAGCCCTCACTGCCCAGGGCCCAGCTGTGGGGAGTTGGAGTGCCAGGACGGGCCACACAGGCAGGCCTGGCCTTTGGTTTGTTTTCTGAATCTGGGTGTCCCAATTATGAGGATTAAAGAGAAATCAGATTCTTAAATTTTCAAACAGAAATGAAAACATACAATGGATCCTTCCTCAGTACTACTTGCTAATAATTATAAGCATCCATGAAGTGGTTGCTGCATGCCAGCTACTGTTCTGAAGACTTGCTTTCTATGTGTTATCGCCTCTGATTCTCACCACACTCCTGTCAGAAAGCAGCCATCACCTTCCCCGTGCTCAGGTCAGGAGATGATGAGAAGGCCACAGAGAGGCCAAGCAACTGTCTGTCCACAGTGGGATGTGGCGGAGGTGGGGTTTAGACCAGGAACCTCTGTTCGTAAGCACCATGCTCTGCAATATGCAAATTGCACCTGCTCTCAGCGTCTCTCAACGCCAAGCACCAGATTCTCATGCCAAGGCTGGGTTCAGAGAGACGGGAAGAGACACAAGCAAGTCTGGTTCCCCAGAGAGGCCCGTGGCATGGCGTAGAATGGCACGTTCCCTTCTAAGCAGGTTTCCCTTTCCAGTGCCCTTGGCTGGGAGGGCATCACCGCCTCACCTCTTAGGTTTACACGTGTGACCCTCACAGGGGTGGACCACTGCGCACAGGAGGACCACGGCTGTGAGCAGCTGTGCCTGAACACGGAGGAGTCCTTCGTCTGCCAGTGCTCGGAAGGCTTCCTCATCAATGAGGACCTCAAAACCTGCTCCAGTGAGTCCCCTCCACCCCTCTCTGGTCGGGAAGGGTTTGCCATGGGACTGGAACGTGCTGCCCCTGCAGAGTGGCAGCTTGGGCGTGGTGGCCCTTTCCTCTGCTACAGGGGGTCGTGGGCACTTGGCCAGGGACTGCATGCCCCGGGGGTGACGAGCATGATGAGGCCCCCCGGCCTCACTGACAGGGCCCCAGGGACCTCACCTGGGTCTTGGCTTTGCAGGGGCAGATTACTGCCTGCTGAGCGACCACGGCTGTGAATACGCTTGCGTCAACACGGACAGGTCCTTCGCCTGTCAGTGTCCCGAGGGCCGCGTGCTCCGTGGTGATGGGAAGACCTGTGCAAGTGAGTCCGTCGTGTTCGAGGTCCTGGGGCGAGCGTGGGCATTCCGTGGCTGCGTCTGTGTCGTGGCTGTGCGGCCACATGTGCCTGTGCCTGGTGTCCTGTCTGGGCTGGGCCTGGTTGGTGGGGATGTGTGTGACTCTTCTCTTAGCCATCTGAACCCTGAGGGCTGCCTCCCTTCCGCCCCCACCCCGCTGTCTGGAAATAGCCTCGGCTGTTTCCTCACTGCAGCTGTGGAACTGGACACAGCCCTGGATCTTTGCGTGCTGCTCTGCTTCCAGTGGGGTTTGTCCCCGCCAGAAGCCATGTTCAAATTTGCTTTCCCCTCGTGGCAGTTTTGAGAGAGAAGCGCTTCAGAGGCGATGAGGCCATGCAGAGGGAGGAGTGCTTTCTCCGGGGAGTGGGTTACTTCTCGGGGGAAGTTAGGTGATGGGGAGAACAGGTCATCCACAGGGGAGCCTGTTCCCTGTGTCCCCTCCCCTGGCACACACTCCTGCTGTGTGCTTTTCCAGGACAAGACAAAGGCAAATGAAGCCCTGCCTGGTGCTGCTCTCAGGCCTACCGGTCTCCAGAGCTGGGGGCTTCTGAGCCTCTGTTCTTTCTAAATCAGCCAGTATGCCCAATTCAGTGTGGGTTGTTTTTGGTTTGGATTGGGTTGTTTTAGTTTTTTTTTGAAACAGGTTCTTACTATGTAGTTCAAACTGGCCTGGAACTCACTGTGTAGCCCAGGTCAGCCTTGAACTGGAAGCCACCCTCCTGCCTCAGCTTCCAAGTGCTGGCATTACAGTTGTGCACCACCACGCCCAGATTGTTTTCAGTTATATAGCAATAGAGAGCCGTGCTCTCCGCCAGCAGCCTGCTCATGCATAGTAATGTACCCCTCCCTGGCTGCATGCTGGGCACTGTGCTGGGACCAGTGCTGTCACAGATGAGGAAACTGCCGCTCTGATTGAGACCGAGGTTGCCTGCTATTAAGTGAGGGTACTCACTCAAGACTCCTGCGAGGAGGAGCTGTCCTGGGAAATCTGGAGCCTGCTCCCTGATCCCTGCTGTCTGTCTGAGCACACCCAGCTTGGTAGTGACACTGCTGGATATGTTTCCTTATAGCTGATCCTAACTCCTGTCTCCATTAAAAACAAACAAACAGAGGGTTTCTCTTTTCTCTTTCACTCAAGAACTCTGCTGTGTTTGTTGTCTTGCATGCCGGTTTCCAAGTAGCCCAGGATAAAAGAATTGAGCTGGGCAGAGTGGTGCACATCTGTAATCCCAGCACTCCAGAGGCTGAGGCAGGAGGACTGCTGCAACGTTGAGGCCCACCTGGACTAGGCAGTGAATTCAAGGCCAGTATGAATTACAGAGTGAGACCCTGTCTCAAAAAGAGCATAACAACAGCAGCAACAACAAAAACATAAAGAATGGAGAAATAGTCACTCTGAGAGAAGGGATCAGAAATGGAGGGAAAGGACCAGATGTCACCTTCCCTGTCCTGCTGGTCTTTCCTTTTGCAGGGCCCCGGTCCTTGACCACTTGCAAAGATGTGGCCACAGCCTCTTCTGTCCACCTGGAGTGCCATCCGTGCACTTGGGCAGACAAGTGACAGCCCCTAGGGTGTGTCCGTGCAACAGTGCCGTCTGGGAGGAGACCCTTCCTGTTCTGGGCTGGACTCTAGGGTCTCAGCGAACGGCGTACCCATGTCAGGGCTCGCTGGTGGATCCCTGCCCAGCTGCCTCCCACACTACTGCCCCAGCCAGCTTGGGGAGACCTGGGCCCCGAGGGCAAGAAGAGGGTGGGTGTGCCAGAGCGCTCTGTGCTTGCCTGCCTGCCAAAGCAGATGCAAAAGGATTTGAGGGCTTCATCCTACAGCATCTTTGACAAGTCCTGCCCTTCCTTTGTCCTTCTCTTTCCTGTGAAAATCGGAAACATAAGATGGTTGCAGGACTTCTAAACATTCTAACAGACTGTTCCAAACACGTGTGGCCCCTTCCTTCGCTTTCCTGCCCCTGTCATCTGAGTGAGGCCTTCACCACTTTGCAACGCTGCCCATTGTCTCGTTTAAAGTGTGTTTGTCACTAATGGCACCATGACATCACTCATGTGAGGAAAGGCCCCAAGGTGCAATTAGAAGTGAATTATGAGGGCCGGGCATTTGGCTCAGTGGTGCCACCGCCTGCCTCACAAGCGCAAAGTCCCGAGTTCGATCCCCAGTACCCCCCAAAAAAGTGAATTTTGATATTTCTGTATGGTTGGGTTGATATGAGAACTTGGGAGATAATCACTCAGGTTGGAATTACCCTGGGGAACAGAACATGAGGGCCACATTTCTCCACCAGGGTTAATTGAAGACTTTCTGTCTGTTCTGGATGATTCAGTCTAGTGGCCAGGTTCCGTAATAGTGGGCTTTGTTTTCAGTGCAGCCATAGCTAACTGTATTTGGCATTTAAGTTTCCCAGCCCTACGCTGGATGACACAGAGCCGGCTGACGTGACTGTCATAAGAATGTCCTTGGCCTTTATAAAGGCAGCCTCCACTTAGATCTGTGGTCTGAAGAGATCTTAACTCGCCTTCTGGGAAGTGCTCTGAAGGACAGAGCTGAGACCCTAGTTCCTGAGGCTTTGGGACGAAGCTGACACTGTGATCTTGATGCCTCTCAGGCACCTGGGGCTCTGTGGGCTCTGCTGTGAAGCTTGGCCTCCTTTCCTCCTTACCCCCAACCCTCACACGCTGGTTACACAGCCAGCTGGGCTGGAAAGAGCAGTGGGCAGACTCTCTCACCACTACAAGTTTCCTTGAGGTGAGATGGACGTTGTACAAGAGATCCTAGTCCACTGGCCTATGGGCTTCTGAAGATCAGAAGTCAGAGGTCGAGTCTCATCTAGAGCCAGAGTTCCTAGCCCAGCCCATGAGAGATGCTTAATAGAGGGAGAAGAGTAGAAGAGGAAATGGATGGAGACCAGGTGTCTTTTGATCCTCTGGCCCTGGCCCAGGGTCCACTCCCTGCTCTCTAACTTTCAGTGGCTCCCTACCATCTCCCAGAATTTATTTCCACTCGTACCCCTCACTTCGGCCGTGTGGGAGAACTCCCTCCTCCTCTTCTCTGCATCCCAGTCCCAGGTCTTTCCTGAAGCTTCCTGTGCTCCAGCCACTGTGGAGAGGCCTTTCTTCTCTGAACAGGGCTTGGGCCTTCAGCTTGTCCTGCGGCCACTTAGGACAGCCTCCCCACCCAAGCTGCCTGCAGAAACCCAGCCCATGTCCAGTGCTGTCTCTGGGGAACTTGCTCCCTTGCCACCTACTGGGTGCCAGTGTCCTCCTGTCACCCCAGACTCACCTGGGGCCCCTCTGCCTGCTGTCCAACCTGGCCTCACCTTGTGGTTCTCTACACAGGTATGGGACGTGGCCTTGCAAAGTATAACGAGCATGGAACTAGGAGACCAGAGACCAGATGTAAACCTGTGGCTTCTCCTGTGGGTGAGGAACTGGGCCCTCTTTGGGTCCAGTTGCTCATCTGTAAACTGGGAACAGTCACTGCTCCGTTTCTCAGGGTCGCTGTGTGGCAGAGGGAGAGGCATCGGTCAGAGCTTTGTGACCCTGTAGAGCAATGTCAGCCAGCCCCTGTTAGGGTCTCGTCAGGGTCTTCCCTCCCTACCCTCCACTTCCACATAGAAGAGCAGCCTAAGGGAGCTCCCGGCCTTGCTGCCTAGAGACCCCCACCCCAGCTGTCCTTGGAGGAGCCCTGGGGACACACCACCTGGCCCAGGAGTGCAAGGGCTGTCCTCGGGGAGTCCCTCCCTCCTTTCAGGGCCCTGGAGGACGCTGACAGGGCTGAGTCACAAACCTCAGCGCTCCTGGGATCCAGTTGGCCACGCTCCCAGTCCAGCTACCATGGGCCGATAGATCTGCAAAGGCCTGTGCAGGCCTGAGGCCCTGGCTTGGCCTCCTAGGCTAAAGCCGCCCTGAGCAGGCTTGGCAGAGTGTTTTGGTCCTACTTGGGCTGCCATGACAAAATACCATAGTTGGGTGTTGGTCTCTAACCTCAGAAATCTGTTCCTCAGTCCTGGAGGCTGGAAGTCTGAGATCGGGTGCCGGATCAGGATGTCAGGTTCTAGTGAGGCCTTTGCTCCTAGCTTGCAGACAGCCAGCACCTCTGGCTGTGTCCTCACATAGCAGGGAAGAGGGGTGGGGTCAAGAGCGCAAAGGACAGGGAGTGAGCCCCTGGGGTCCCTCATAAGGGCACTAATTGTGTTGGGTCAGGGTTCCAGCCTCATGACCACAGCTCGGCCTGATCACCACCAAGTGCCATACATGGGGTTAGAGCATCAGTGTAGGAATTTGGGGCCTGGGGACACTGTTCAGTGAGTAGCAGGGAGTGAGGGAAGGGAAGGCCACTTGTGGAACAGAAGGAGCAGTTCAAAGCTTTTCTTGCTCTTGTGGGAAACAAGCACAGACACGCCTAGCTACCCTGGGGGTCAGTGGCAGAGCCAGGACTACAGCCCAGGTCCCAGGCTTCAGATTTCTTGCTCAGTGCAAGATGCCCCTCAAAAGTACATTTCAAGCGGGGTGTGGTGGCTCACACCTGTAATCCCAGCACTTGGGAGGCTGAAGCAGGAGGATCGCTGTGAGTTTGAGACCAGCCTGGGCTACACAGTGAGTTCTAGTCTCAACTACATAGTGAGACCCTGTCTCAAAAAACCAACAAAACAAAACAAAACAAAGAAAC